ACTGGCCACACATCTCAGCCAGAAGACCAGTGTGGGAGTCGGGCCCACGTTACTCAGTCAGCCCCGCTACACAAACACATCACCCCAGCAGCAGCGGCAGCAGCTATTTGTTTGCATAATTATCTTATATAATTAATAAATGTCCACAAAGCTGCAGCACAACTGCACCAGCACTAATCACAGGGTACAGCGTGACAACGTTTTTCATTAACACACACAGCCTCCCACCAATATTCAGACCAGTTCGGCCACATAAACGGTGTGTATTTTGTATGTTCCTGACATTTACTTTTTCACTCCAAATATTTGAAGATCATGTATTTTTCTGGGCCTCGGCCACTGAAGTGTAAAAGACAAATGTCACAGGAAAACACCAGAGTTATTTGGATTCACGCTCCAATGCTAATTGTCCAAATTAGAATTTGACAGTTATTCCATTAAACAAGAGACACATCACTGACAGTAGTAATAATAATTTGCCAGGTTATTATTACATTATATTTTATCACACTTGACTATCAGCCTTCGATACTGGTAAATGGTCTGCACTTATAAAGTCCTTTTCTAGTTGACCACTCAAAGCCATTAGACTGTAGGTTCTGCCATCTGGAAAACACATCTACAGTATTGTAAAGTACAAGGGTTAGGGGTTTGGTCCCTTTTGCAGACCTGTGATGCACCTCCCATCAGACACCTCAGATTACTGTGGACACATTTTACTCTTTGCACTTTTGTTTGTTTTGTTGTTGTTGTTGTTTTTAATTATCTGATACCTTAACAATGGATCAATGTCTTGGTTCTGGACCCGGGCCCTGTGATTGGGCATCTCTATGTTAAAGCACGACTATTGTTTTTTTTTTTTTTTTTTTGTATTATAAAGTTACAACAAGACAACATTCATCAGATTGTTTTATACCCGACATTAAATTATAATGATTCATGAAAGCCAAGTATCCCTTGTTATTGTCATAAAATTATTTTCTTTTCACTTTTAAGCGTAAGCATACTTTTAAAAAATTATTTTCTTTTCACTTTTAAGCGAACAAAAGACAATGCATACTGTACAGCTGAACACATGACTATCAAACAAATGTGCTACAGTCACATAGTTTAATTTGGAACTATGAGACCTTTAGTTTGACTTTTAGAGACCTAGAGCTACCAATCAAATTTTGAAAAATAAAAATAAAAATTCTGACTAACAACATATGCCACCGATATGACAAACTGCATAAAACCCTGCAACATCCCAATGAATAATTTTACCACAAATAAAGGCATCATTCACCAAAAAGAAATCATACATTATTGAAAATGATATAAAAGCTTGGACCATTAAGTTTTCTGAAGAATGTAAAATTTTATCATAAATCATGCGACGTGGGCTGATATCCTAATGGACTCACTATGGAGTGAGTTCAAGTTAAAACTTTCAACATTTCTCTTCTTCTTAAAGACAATAAAACATAACTGTGTCTGACTGTGACAAACCTGGTACCTCACCCACTGCTGACGCTCCCCTCCTGGGAAAACATCTCAAACATATTTATCTCTCTCCTCTCTCACTGAGCAAACAGATCAGCAGAGGAGCAGAGGAGGATGATGCTGAAGGGACAGTTACTCTGGACTTGTGATACATTTTGACACGTTTTTTTCTTCCTGCCGTGACTTTGCCTCGGGACAATCTGACTCCTGCTGTCATCTGCTGCACAACAAAGTTCTGGTCCCGCATTTTGTAGCAAAAACAAGGAAGTCCACAAGTAAATCTAGTGCAAATGATAAATAGTTTTCAACAACAGCTTGGACTTCTGCAGCATCACCACAAGTGTTTACTTTGGTGTGTGCATCAATGTTTCATTTCTTATATTCCTATTTTTTGTTCATCCTGGCAAAACATCCTGGTTATCTTTGAAAAAAGTAACACTTAAAAACCTAGGCTGTCAAAATGAAGAATAATCAAAATGAAGTTAATCAGCTGATTTTTTTGATGTTTTATTTATAACTTTTCGATATATAGAAACAGGGTAGGAAACACACAAAGTTGTTGTTTCAGTGTATATGAGCAAAACTGCTCATTACAATTAATATACATTATAGGTATATAAAATAACAAAACAAGAAAAGAAAGAAAGAAAAAGATCCTGCTCAAAAATAATATGTACTTTGTTATACAAACTGTACCAGTCAGCTATAGATCAAGCATTTTAAGGTTACATTGGCAGAAAGTGAGAGATTACTTTGTATAGTAATATTATATTGTATAGTTTTACAGTGAATGTTGGTGAGCATAGAGAGGTGTTGGGAGCAACCCAGGATTGCAGTGCGTGGGTCTGGAAGAATATATTGCATTTATATACCTCAGAGAAGCATTTAAAAATATTAGACCAAAACTGGTTTATCAGTTGGTTAATCAGCTTAATTAATTTGCAAAATTAGTCAGACATATTTTTTTAATGCATGAGAAGTTCCAATAACTCTAATAAATCATCCATCCATGTATCACTGGTGTAACGTGTGTCACATGTTGATATTGAGTTATATTGAGTTTCCGTTTCACTGAAGCGGCTCCAACTTAAAATGACATCTTAGTCATTCTTTTAGTTAAGTGACACAATTGTCAAATGGACAGTGTGAAATTGAAAACCGATTAGAAAGTTATTAAGTTGAGGTAAGTGGCTTTGCTGGAGTTTTGAAAGCAACTCTCAGCAAGTTTTGCAAGCCACAGTTAAGATGCAGAAATACGATAGGAAATCCATAAACTCCAGGAAGCTAAATTTTGAGTTATACATTTAAATCTGACTCTTTTCCTTATTCGTCCCTGCTGTTATTTGTATTTTTTTCCCCAACAATGTACTGAAAAAATATTGATTTAACTTGATTATTCATGATTAATTGATTCACTTTAATCCGCAGCCACTATGTGATTCAATTGTTTACATTAACTTAGAGTTTCTTCATTTCTATAGGCCTGATATTTCTCACTGCCAACTGTTTTAACCAAACCGAACTATTCTCTGCCCATTCAAAGACAGTATTAAAACCAAATTATATAAAAGGGCTGTTTAAATTAACGGTGTCACAGTGGTATTAATTATTGATATCTTCATTATGCAGAAGAGGATGTAGGGTAAATAAATGCACAAATCCACTATTTAAACACCTCGCCTGTGCAATCGAATTGGAAAAATCCTCGGATTAAGAAAAAGAACTTCATTATGTCAAACATAAACTAACATTCATTGGACTGAATTGTCTTATAAACAGTCTTTAATCAAACACGATTAATTCCAGCAGCTGAATAATACGTTAAACAAACGGGGGTTAAAAATTCCTGTGTCGCACGTCTGTTGCAATTATTTACATCATATCAACATTGGCAAACAATCTATAAATAAGACTCGTATCAGTTGATGTCATTATCCTGCTTTTGTCTATGTGAGTTCACAAACAGAATCATTACTTCTTTAGAAGCTTCTGCTGAAGATATGTTCAATCTGTGTTCCTGTTTATCATCTGTCTTCATTCTTTAAACACTGGAAAGAGAAAGTAAGCAGTCTCTGTGCCCTCCCCCCTCCCTTTTTGCTTTTTAGGACTTTTCGCTCTAAGTAGGGCAACAGGAAGGGACTTGTTTTCGTCTTTTTCTCTCTCTCGCATAAGGATGTTTGTAACACAGGCCACATGTAGCGTTCTGGGGTTATGTCGCTGACAAATGTGAGATGATGCATCTCGCTGTGTGTATTTTCTAGGTCACGGCTGTTTGCCACATCCATGACGCGTCCCGTCCTGACAGTGAGAGCAAATTTATCTTAGCAGTCACAAAGTAGATCCAGCAGAACGAGTCATCAATGCATCTTCCACGGCTGTCGAGGAGTCTCTGCACTAACAAGTGGAATTTTATCCGTCAGCCAGTTGCACGCTCGGGTTTGTGTTTGTGTGGTGCTGCTTTGTGAATAGGACTGAGGAGGAAAAACAAACTGCCAGTGGGTTGAGGTGGACGTCCTTCTAAACTCGCAGCCTCTCCTATCACTTCACCATCTACATTCCTGAAAAGTTTGGGTTTACTCAGATTCTGTATAAACATCCCGGTCTGAGGGATGACATAGTAAGAATAGTAATGTCTGGAGAAAAACTTTGGTTGAACCTGTGAACTTTTCTAGGTTAAAAAAAGATCTTACATTTTTTCCCCACACAGAAAGAAATTTGAATGAACTGAGTATCTTAAATGAAGGACTAAAAATCATCACACAAAAATAGATATATGGAATACACACAGATGAAGCTACTGCAGTATTTAAAAAAAAAACAGATGCTGTAATGGTCAGCTATATCCTGCTGCTGACAAACTATTAATAAAATAATTATGTCGTACAAAAGGTTATAATTTAGTACTTGCTGAGCTTGTAAAATCCCCACTAGTAAAAAAAAAACACTTCTCTGTTTGAATTAATTCTACAAAAAAGTTTTTTCCAGGTCATGAATAGGCCCAGATTTCTTTTAATCTTCTGTACGACATATTTTTATGATGCGTTTTTCAGCCAGCCGCCAGGGGTTTAACTTTCAGTAACTTTAAGATACAATTCCTTACATATTTGCATCACACGGCATAAGACCCCCAGTGTATTCACAGACACTACAATACTTCAAAGTGTGTATACATTTGTATGCAAGTGTCATCCAGTTGACAAGGTGGTTTTCGTAAGGCAACTGTGTGGTCTATGCAGCCCCCCCTCCCCAATCCATATGCATGGATTTTCGTTAAGGTAATCTGGAAGTGTCAGACTTTTATTTGCACTACTGCCTCCTACTGGGTGTATTTCTATGGACACATTCCATTGAGGAAGTATTCATTATAAATTTAAAATTACATTTTTTTAAAAATAAATTTTGTTTTATAAAATAAATAAAATTAATTATATCTATAAAGTTTAATCATGAAACCATTTCCTAGTCTATTGTTTACTTTTAAAAACCAAGACTTATGTATCATAAAAATAGACTGCTTTTATTCGGAACATTTGGTGATTACAGGTTTTAGTAGCAGGAGCCACACATACTGGAGGGTGGAGATGTGCTGGTGAAGGTGCTGGTAATGGTGGTGGTGGTGGTTTCTGAGAAAAGGCCAGATCTGCCATCTGACAGCCTCCATTAGAGAGAGAGAGAGAGAGAGAGAGAGAGAGGTTAACTGTGGCAGATCAATCTGATATGGCACTGCAACAGATGCTTTCTCATCCATTGTCTGCTTCAGCCCAGCTCCAGCAGGAGCTTTACTGTCTCTATGAATATGAGACTGAACATGCCCGAAGAAAAAAATGCTGTTTTTTTTTTTGCCACTTGTTTATATTAGAGTTTACACACAAGCAACAAACGGTACAGACAGATGGAGCATCAGGATTGGATTCAAAATCCCCTAATTTTACAGACAACTGACCAACCTCTCAAGAAATCAACATAGTTGTAACTAAATATACTGTACTTTTTAAAAAAAACACTATTTTTGAACATTTACTAATGCGTTAACATGGAAGACATGGAAAAGGCCACTATATCATCAAGAGATGTAAACCTGGAGCACAGACTCATGTGTCTTTAGGTGATGAATTTAATTTTACTTTACTCATTTGTATGACACACTGGCTGTTGATTGTGGCCGTTCTTGTGCTGCTACACGTACACATCATCCATACAGTATAAGCCACATTTGGGTGGAATCACTCTCACAGTCTGTAGAATTAAAATAAAAATGACAGCTTTATTTCTGTAATATACGGTACTTTCCACTGTTTTTCCGTATGAAGGTTAGTGGTTCTTCCTACATGGACATGGTCTTGTCCAGGTACTCTGGATGAGGTCAATCGTCCACTTCATATTGATTAAAGTTAGCATGAACAGTTGCTTTTCTTCCTTCATAGTACCTTAGCTTGCACCAATCATAAAATACATGTAAATATAGGTTGAATATATTTTGATATTGTGAGCTGATTTTGTCATTGTTTGAACATGACCATGAAGGCCATATGCAAAAAAGTGAAAATGTTTATGTATAAATAATCAATGTGTTGTTGTTGACCAAAGGGAGAGTCACAGGTTTGTTCACATGTACAGTACATAAGTGAATGAATATTAGCAGTGTGTAAATTGGATGGAGAAATGTGTGACAGTGCTGCATATATATGCATATGTTTGCATGGTGAGACAAGGTGATGATATGTAGGTGGCAAAACTGTTCCAAGTCATCACCAAGACTGTAAAAGTGTGATATTCTGCACAAACAGAGCATTTATCTGTCCTAATGCTGCTGCTACATCAATTCAAAATGCAAGTTATTTCCGTCAAGGCTGAACAGAACACAGAGGAAAGTCAAAGACTAAACTTTAGTAGGCAAATGAGCCTGGTGTTTGTGTGTGTCATTACCCTTTCATGTCTATTTATGCAGATTGCAATTGGATTTACCCGTTTCTGTCATCCATATTTCAAGGCCTCAGATGGAATAATTGCAGGGCTTTGGCTATTTCTATTTTCGAGGCTTCCTCAGACAGTGAAGGCCTCAAGCTGCAGCCGCTCAAACCCTGCTTCTGAAGGGTTGGTACAAACATATGAAACCAAAATTAGTAAAGAAGATTTGGAGTGTTGTTTCTAATTGCAAAGACAGATTTGTATAATCACTGGTGGAGAACTTCCATCATCTTCAAAAGTGGATGTTGCTGAAAGCATCATAACTGCCTGTGCAGTTTGGAGAAAGAGGGAAGTTTGGATGAGGATGCATCCATTTTACTGAATACATTTTCACAGCCGCCATCCGTTTGAGGATGTTTGTTCTGTGTATGTCATACTTCATCTCCTTGTGTTCTGAAGTACTGAGCGGAACATGGAATGAACATGTTCCAATTTGGTGGAGACTGATCAGAGACAGACAGTCACAGACCAATATTTGTGGATTTATTTTACCCTAGGTTACGAGGAGCTGCTTCGTGCACAACAACTCAGTTTCTTGAGCGGGGAACTTTTTTAGAATTTTCTGCAGCTTTGTGTGAAATATGAGCAGATGTGGTGGAAATTGACTCCCACACAGTGGTGGGAACAAAGCTTGTTCTCCTCTGATGGAAAATCTGTGTGGAAATGAAACTGTGCAGTCCACAGTGGTGCTTAGTTATGTTTCCCCAAGACAAATCTCTGACATCCATCTGTAACTTTCTTTTTCCACACTGAGTTCGCAGGCTGACAGTAACAAAGAGCCGTACTGTTCTGGTTTATGCCCAGATAAAGTGAATGCAGCACTGACTAATTGCACAGTGTACTGCATAACATCTTTTTTTTTGGAAACTAAAACACACCACTTGACAATGAAAGAGATAAAACACTGTGGTGTCATCTGCATACATCATACATAGCAATCATCTCATAAAAGCAAACTCTAAAAGCAAGCAAAGAGGATGTGTTGTGGGCCCTACAGGGGAAAAGTGGTCACTGCTCTCTCCTTCCAGGAAGACGATCATTCTCAACTGTGCACTGCAATCCCTGACTGCAACACTACCTTTACATGGAGCAGGTTAGGGCACTGGTCTGACATGTGAAGTGCAGACCACATGTAATAGACAGACCTCGTGGTGATAAACATCCACTCCCTCTAAAGTACAACTGTAAGTTTTTCCCTCCTGTGTTTGTTTTGCCAACAGTGAATTAGATCCTATCTGTGAGGAGACACAACTCAAGGGGGAGTCAGAAAAACCTCATGATGGAGATAAAATCACAGTCTAAAATAAGAAATGACAAAGAAGCTCTTTGTCATAAAAAAACGACAGAAATGTGTTTAAAAATACAAACATGAAAACTCATTTGTTTTCCAAAATATAGGAAAAACAAGTAATAATAATATTTCACTCTAACCCAATTAGGTAGCTAAGATCAGAAATCAGATATGTTCAGATATGTATAAATCTTAATTGACTGAAATAAACATCTGGTCTAGATGGCATTGCTCTATTGTGGATTAAAATAATCAATTATTATTAAATATTGTTCCAGTAAAGTGCAGTATTTTATTCATGGAGTTTCTTTCTTTCCAATTTTACATGTTCTGCCATTATATTAGTACTGTATATGTATCACAATCACACCTGACCTACACCCGACAGCACTTACTGATTCCTGCTTTACTGAACCATCTTTACCCTACATTCCATTCAACAATTCACACTTATTCACACACACATGCACCCTGTCACACATCTTTAATTTCTCTGCTAGTAGAGCAGCCAAGCAGAACCTATGTGTCCCAGGGGCACGCTGTAAATGATGGGGGTTGAGATCAAACCCCTGACCTTCTGGTTTATAGACATACCGGTCTGCATACAAGCTACTGAACATCTACCTAGTTGGTAGATGCATGGATGGAGCTCATAATAGAATTTGAGAAAATAACTGTTTTGTTCAATCACTGGATTATTGCTCTATGCTGTATTGCCTCACAGCCTACTTTGATAGCACACTTGTATGGTGTAATAAAATTGTATAGAATTATGTCATATTTTCTGTGTCATAAAACAACATCGGGTGAGGCAATCTAAAACCAATTCAGTGCAATACAAAATTAATTTGGGTCCACAGAGGCTCCACAGCAGGTGTAATAAATACAATTAAAGGTATCTTATCATGATAGCGATGAGGTCGATATAACAGGGTTTTTTGAAAAGGAAGATTGGGGAGTTTGCTCCTGAAGGAGCTCCATCCTATTTCACCTGTGAGGTTTAATTTATAGTAAAGCCCATCTGTCCCTCCTGGTCACCAGTTATCTTTCTTTTCATTCTTTCTGGTCCTGATACCAGTCATTATCACCACTTTTTCTTTTAAAGTTCTTTTCTTTTATCAGTTCTACCTCTGTGAGACCAATATCTGCAGTCAGTTTAAAGAAAGTCCAAAAGATTACAGTTTCAAATATGTCTTGATTTCCAGGTTTGAACCAGAGCAGTCTTAGGCTCTGTTAGAATTAGTCTCCTCCTTGTTTTTGTCCACAGTCTGGGAAAAATCGAAACATGAGTAATTAAAACTTGCAAAATATTTTGGTTCTTACAAGTGATACAAAATATTACCACGCACTCAATAGTATTTCAGTTTGGGGAAAGAGGAGGACCACCACTGCCCCACTGTATCCGTTTTGGTTGATATCGAAATCAGAAGATTAAGTGTTTGGACAACATCGACATATCAGGACCATAAAGGACTTATCTAACATGAGACACATTAGACAGAGAGTCTGTGCTCCAAAGCATACAGACCTGTAATAATTCACTGCAAACTCACTGATGGAAGTGGACAGTGTTTAAGGAGCACACAGGGAGCAGAGAAAACAAATCCACCACAGACAAGACGCTGAGCTGGAAGCCAACTTCCTTCTACTGATGAAGTCCGACAATTTTAATTGAGTTATTTAGTGTCCGTGGCAATTTCATCATGAAGCCGGTGTCAAAGGCTGGGGTGTGTGGTGAGGAAAGGCAATCTTAACAGACACCTTAAATAAAACAAAGATAATGGGATGAAATTCAATTATGTGTGTTTATCATTGATAGGCTGCTGAATCCCTGTAGGCTGTGGTAATGGAATCTTTGCTTAAAAAGAGGCAAATTTGAAATCAAGTCACAGGTTTTACATAAAAATAATTAAAAACCAACCAAAAGATTACTTGGCTTAAAACACAGCAGGGAGAACACCAATGAAAATGGTCGCACCTGGGGAAATAACAGATTTACCATCAATCTGTGCATATGTGGGTTTGTTGTTGTTACTGTTTTTTAAAAAAGAGGAAAAAATATGAATTATTTAATCAAGATACTAAAATGATGAGATACATTTCTTCTCACATCACAGTAACCCTGTCTGATTATAAACTTGTTCATGAACTCCTGAACCATCCTGAACATCACGACTCTGTGAAAGTAAACCAGATTTTCTTCAACGATCTAAATTCAACTTTTTGTTCCATCCATCAAATTTTATGTATGACACAATAATATTCCTAAAACGTTTAATTTTCTTTTTTGGCTAGTTTCAATTCTCTTTCAAATTAACTGGTTGTCAACTCTCCATTTTAATACTGTTTGGAAAAAATGTTTATAAAGAAGAGAAAGTAGAATACCTGTTTTATTTACCATCCAATATCCCATCCAAAAATCATATATGGTCTTCTTTCTCTGTGATTATTGTCTTGTTTGGTGTCCTCACTGTGGTTTGGGTATTATATTATTCCCACCTATACAACACTGACTTCCACCTCATATTTCTTTTAACCCAACCTAAAGAAGTATTGTGTGCAAGAAACAGTTGACACTTGTTAATTTGACCCATTTCTGCATCCACGTTTATTCTAATAGAACAATATGGTATAAGGCAGTGATTATACTGTATTTTATATTAAAAAATAAAATAGGTCAATATTTAAATAAAATTCAATTTTCTGCAGACAACTTATTGGCTGCGTCAGGTGCTTGGTGGCCATACATCAGCTCAGGGCTTAACGGCAGCAGAGGTCAGCACATAATCACCTCTGATGAATATGGAGGAGAGCCTCTGGATTTACACTGGAGGACTGCCAGAAATGATAACCACCTCTCCTCTGGCGCCTCCTCTGGGAGCCGTACACGCTCTCATCTGAAGGTTGTGAGTGAAACAGAAGCGGTGTGTCTGCAGAGGGAGGGCGCCACTCAAGATTTTTGCCTCTTAAGTCATGAGCTGATGCGATATGAACACATTTCTGAAATGTGATCTGCGTAACATCCCCTGCATGTCTGCTCACAAATCAGCTTAGGATGCCGTGAAGGTGCTGAAGGGCATATGACGGAGGCTGAGGCAACACTTTTCAACTTTCTTGAACCCTAAACATGACATTTGTCTGTTTCCTGCATTTATTGTCATCTGTGGTCCTTTACCATAAGAAGAAAGATATTTCTTTAAAGTCAAATTTAAACTGAGACATTTTCTTTACTGTACCAAAACAGTGATTTATTTACAGCTTCTCTGAGTTACCAAAATCATAATATTAGGGATGTATTTAAAATTAGCCCAGGAATAAATGCTAGGTTTGAACACAGATATATTGTTATCATAAAAATAAGAGATAAGTAAGTAGATAAGATAAGTTCAACTTGCTCCAATGTCTTGAACACTGGTATTTTGCACAATCTTAAGCAGATATTACCATGAATGTGGAAAATAATCTCCTGACTAACAAACATAAACTAGAAGGCGTCTCATTAACTTTTGTAAGACTTTTCAGTGAAAGTTTATGATAAAAAAAATAAAGTAAGCAAAATTAGATCTAAGATTACTCCACCAAATCAACTGTGCTGTCAAAATGTTTAAAAGCGTGAAGTGAAGTAAAATGTGTTGTTTAAGTGCGTTGTCAGCAGATTTTATTGGGATACATCATTTAACTGCTCTGTTTCGGATGAGGTTGTGAGTTATGGAGGCTAATTAACATGAGCAGAGACCGGTGTGACAGGCTGAAGGATGGTGTTTGTCATCCACCCTCATTTCCTCTCATCTCCATCGGCCACTCAGCAACTTTACCCTCCTGGCTGTC